TGCAAGTGCCTAATATTTCACAACCTCTAGTGTCTAAAAAATACATGCCTGAAGCCACAAAAATGGTGTTCTTTTCTATATCTTTTGGTAAGCATGATGTTAGGCTTCAAAGGTTCCTAGTCTCTGATTTCACTAGGATTTTGTACAAGTGGTCAAAGTCTATCTTCAGGGAAAAAAAATACAAAAACTGGGTGTCACTGAAAATCTTATTTTGTATCTTGAGTATCTTGAGGTTGAGACATACTGGCCAGACTCCTATGGAACAGCGTGCCTTAATAATTATTCTGTAAATAAGCAGAAGGAATCAGTTTTCAGACATAGCCTTGACTTCCAGGCAGACCTGTAACTTTCATCTTGGATGTCTGCCCTTGTGGTTTGTTATTTTTCTCTGTAAGAGCACAAATATGCGTCACAGGGCATGAGCTTAACATAAAGGCTAAATAAATTACCACTTGTGTACCACTCTTCAGGTCCATTTGTGCTCGGGAACTTTGTGACATACACTATTTTTGACTCACAAATGTTTAGGTCATCTGGAGGAAAGTGCCTCAAAATTGCTTCCTGTTTCTCAGAGCACTGGTTAATTAGTGAAAGGAGAACTGAATTGAACCAGAGAAGTAAATAATTTTCTCAGCAGGATACCTTCCCTTAAGAAACAGGTGGCCTGATGGCATTTGCTGAAATAAATGCTGAAAGTTCAAGAACCTTAACTCTACGAATGTCAAAATTGCCTTTAAAAAGTACCAGTGTAAAAGCAAAATAAAATATTCTCAGTTGGCTTAGGTCACTGAGTATTTCTTCTAGTCCTACAATCTAAAAAAACAGCAGACTTGAATGCACTTGAAAGATATGCTTGAATCAGAGTTGCTGAGTGCAAAAAGAGGATTTAGTTCTCAAAAAGATGAACTACAAACTAACCTTCCTCTCTCACCTGACCATTTTTCTCAGTCTCAAAGCATAGAAAACAGCAATTTTAAGGCCTGGATAATTCAAAAGCAGTTTAACAGATTTCCTTCAACTTTACCAGATCTTTTTTTCCTCTGGGCTAAAAGCAACCATGAGAAAATTCAGCCTAAAAGGCACGTTTTTTTAAAGAAAGTATAACCTGCTGAAAGGGGAAATTTAGACTGAAAATACTTTTCACCCATAACTATTCCACATTAATCTTTAACACTTTACCTAATGTTTTATTAAACTACGATTTATTGTATGAATTATGTATATATAATTTATAAATGCATATAGTAGTGTATATGCAATGCAGCAGCCAAATACATGGAAAAAATAAGCTTTCTGAATAAGTGTAAGCATAATATATGTTGACACACAAGAGATATTACTTAACTATTAACAGGAACCCATCTTTATAAATGAAAGGTTCTGACATTTGCCCAGATCAAAAATCCAATTTTACAGCACTGGGAGATAAGGAATTAAACAGAGTGCAGATATCACCTAAACTAGTATTAAAAGGTTAGTAGTGCTTAAAATTGATTAGCTACCAAGATCAGAGAGCTGTCATTCCAGGCTGAGAGAAGAGTGTTGGCCAGATGTTGCAGAAGCTTTAGTTGTCATTTTAGCAAACTCTTGAGCTAGACAAGAGTTTCACAGATTGCAAACTGGGGAGCATAACTGTTACAAGGCAGGCATCCCAGCGGGTTACACAGCAGTGAAGCTAAGAACTGCTTGGGAGGAAAAAAGCCTTAGTAGCTCATATGGACTCTATACATATGAGGACAAAAATGCCCTGCACAGCAATCAGGTTTGGGGAAGGAAAGTCCATGAATGCCTAAGTCCTTTGAGCACTGATAGACCAGAGGACTAAGACATGTGTTAGGACACAGGTGAATACCATACACCACATTTCACGCTATGGCAGGCTACGTAAAGATCACATTCTCTCCAAAATTAATCTAAACTACTCACTGCTTTTGTAGCTATCAACAAGGCTAGGAAAAAAACAGAAAAAAACCCAACCAAACAAAAAACCCCCAAACCAAAACAAAAAAAACCATAAAATTTTAAACATGGGCAAACAGCAATGGTTGTGTCATTTTTATCACAGAGAAATGTAACAGATAACAGTAGCAAAAGCAGTATGTGACTGCTGACAAAGCTGCCTTCATTACTAGGCTTAGTAGCAAAAAAATGAAAAAGCTGGAAATAGCTAGGGAGTAGTTAGATATTTGGTTGAATACAATGATGCAAATCCTCACTGAACACAGATACAGTAAATATATTAGAGCAAATAAATCTATAAGTAATTCCATGGCAAGCTGAAGTTTTGCTATTATGGATCTGCCATAAAGAAAATGTGTCAAAAACTTATGAATCTTAAGGAAATATAATAAAGCATCAAAGCACCTATTTACCTTGAAAATACAAAGGAGTCTAAAACAAAGAAAAACAAAAGGATAGGAAAGGAAAGAAAAGAAGTTATTCAACACCTGTAGAGAAATCAGGCAGCACTTCAGTAATTAATATTTATTACTTATGGCACCTTTCGTACATTGAAAATGCTGAACAAACATGAACTGACTTGTACAACATCTTTACAATACGTGATACACATAATTATGGAAATTATAGCAGGGGGCTGTCAATGGTATAAGATGCTGGATATCCTCCCTTGTGGGGAGAAGCACTGCATCTGAGACGAGGCTGCCATGTAGGGATTGCACAGCACATCTGAGGACAAAAATTTACACCAAAACTGAACAGACAGAATAGAGCAAGACAAAAAGGCAGGGCAAACTTCCACAGCATATGCAACTAAGATGATTATAAATGAAAGCAGCAGAAGTTGATTTTGACATGTGACTATTTTCAGGTTGGAGGTAATCATGTTCAAGTTGAGCACAACATCTGCAGGCAAATCCCCATTGGAAAACGGAAAAAAGTTGTATTCAATATCATTGAATATTTGGAGTTGGAAGAGACTCACAATTATCATGTCCAGCTCCTAACTCCACATGGTACAAATTATAGCATGTGCCCAAGAGTGTTGTTGAACACTTCTTGAACAACAGGCCATGACCACATCCTTGAGTAGCTTGTTCCAACGCTTGACCACCCTCACAGAGAACTTCTTCCTAATAACAAATCTGAACATGCCCTGATGCAGCTTTATGTCATTCCCTCACATCCTATCACCGGGCACCAGAGAGAAGAGATCAGCATCACCCTCTGCACTCACCTTCATTAGGATGTTGTAGACAGAAACTCCTCAGCCTCTTCTTCTCTAAGCTGAGCAAACCTAGTATCCACAGCTGCTCCTCACAAGCCTTGCCCTCTAGTCCCTTTCATCATGTTCGTTGCCTTCCCTTGAACACACTCATCACTCTCATACTTTCATATTTACCACACACAGCTCTCATGGTGAGGCTGCACCAAAGCTGAGAAAAGTGGGATAAATGCTTCTTTTGAGTGGTTAGTTACATTAGACCTAATGCACACCAGGTTGGCCCTTTTGGGCACCAGGAGACATTATTCACTGATTCTGAGCTTCACATTAACAAAACCCAGCAGATCCTTTCTGCAGGGCTGCATTCCAGCCTCTTCTCTCCCAATCCACTCATACATCCAGGATTACGTAGTACCAGGTGCAGAATGTGGCACTTGTTCTGATTGAACATCACACAGTTGGTGATTGGCCAGCCCTGTAATCTATCCAGACTCCCTCTTAGGCCAATCTACCCACTAGAGAATCAAGAGCTTCTCTTTTATTTCATATCATCAGTAAACTTAGTGTGGACTCAGCTTCTGCATCCAGATCATTGACAGAAACATTGAAGAGAATTGGATCCCAAGGAGTGGATGGCTTTGCTTGTTTCTTTTAATCAGGAGCATGGGGTTAAAGCTAGAGATCACAAATGAGTTCACAGCCTCCACAAGCTCAGCTCTCTGCTTGAGACTGATTCGTTATAAATCAGCTTTCTTGCAGCTTAGTGTACCAGCCTGTAAAACAGGTAACTCGGAGCCAGACCGTCAGCTGTGAACTGGCACAGCTTCACTCACTTCCCAGTGTCAGGAGGGGGCATATTTGGCCAAAATTAACCATCAGGCATCCCTTGTGAGGCAAGCAGAGTGATTTACATCATGACCTGGCTCACTTCATCCATGTCTACATGGAAATGCGCAGACATGACAGGATGCTGCTCTGATACAGATATTACACAGCTCTTCTTAAGCTGAAGTAGCAGTGCAGCTTCCAGAGGGAGTCTGTCATATGCCTAGCATGTGGCTGGTGTCTACAGGGCACCCACCCATATATAAATAATTCTTCTCTACATCACAGGAGCAAAGTTTTAATGTTTCCAACTAATTTGGCCTCCACTGTTGACAACAAAGTCTGCTATGTCCAGTTTTATCTGTAAAATACTGATAGTTTTAAAATAGTGTTTTTGTGGATGTTAAAATAAGTGATCCCTTGCAACACTCTCCCAAACTGTGACTGGGAAGTAAATGACAAAGTCTAACAAGAACAATCTCTTGACATTCAATTTTATGGAACCAGTCAGAAAGTAAATAAGCACACACCTGACAGGAAAGCTTCACTTCACTAATATCAACTGAGCATATGAACTGGACAGGCTTCATGATTTTCTGCCCAATTAACACAACTCCAAAATCTCCAGTCAAGAGTTCTCAGCCCAGGGTATTCCTTGGCAGAACCTCAAGACATCCTGCTTGAACAGAGAAACAAAAACAAATGTTCCTCTTACATGACTTGCCTCCTAGTCTTGACCCAGCATAAAGATTGATGGTTTAGAAGTTTGATTTCCCCTGAGAGTTTTAGTTTTTCACAAGGTTAAAATATAATATGGATTACATACCTACTACAAGAAGAGACTAATGCACAGTATGCAATATTAATCATAGGTGATGTTTTCAGAACATAAAAATATAATATCCTCAGAAAACATTCCATATATTTTTCAAAGGACAGGAAGAACTCATGACTGGTGCAAGTGATACTTATAAAAAAAGAAAAATCTTACCTGTCACAAGCTGCTGTCCTGCTAGTCCTACTGGAACCATCCCCAAATTATTCATAGCTGTAGCCCAAGCTGTGGGATCAGTGACTGACATGTTAAGCTGCGTGGTATCTATAGCTATACTTCCCAAACCATCAGCTGCTGCAAGAAAGTAAACATGCTGTAAGTACAAAAGGCAATGCACCACAATTTTTAACCAAATCTTTCAGTGAGAATGAGGTATCACAAACACTCTTTATTTTATTTCTTAATTATGATTCTCCTTTAGATCATTCATAGTAGTTCTTGGTATTGTATAATAGAGTATAAAGACATTGGAAACATTCAACAGATGTAAATGGTACAAGGGAAAGAGAAAAATATTTCACCATGAGCATAGTCAAGAAGTAGAACAGGCTGTGCATTCACCATCCCTGGCACCTTTCAAGACTCAACTTCATAAAGCCCTGAACAGCTGGTCTGACCCTATCTCTGGCCCTGCTTTAAACAAGAGTCTGGTTCAGAGACCTTCTGAGGCCTCTTCCAACCTCAATAAATTGCCCTGCAACACTCTGATAGAACTTAATGATACATAAACAGTTGTGGAACTTCCCTGAAACCTGTGAGAACCAAACACACCCCAAGGAAAGAACTGCTTTCCATAAGGTGCAATGTTTTATAATGTAAAAGATTTAAGAATGCATTATTCCCTAACTAAAAAGAGATCAAACAAATTCCATTCATAATAGCAAATACCAAGGTTTTGGTTCTAAAGCCAAAAGAGAAGTATCATTAGTATGGTCAAAATAGACTGAGTCCACCTATGGATCTTCCTTCGATGGAGTAGAGTCGTTGGGGTAGTTAAGGGACAGCACCTTAAATGAAAACTGAATATACTTGATACTGAAACACCAGACACAAGATGTGATCACACATTTTTGCTTCTCCCCTCCCCAGTCACACCTGCAACCAGGTCTTCCCAGTTATTTTCTTACAGCCTTTGCAGACTTGAGATATTTACCGGCAGCCATTGTTTTTCCCTAGATCCTTTTTCTTCTGTTTGACTTCTTCAGTTAGGAATAATTAGCTACTGTATTAGCAGCATCTTGAGATGGGACATCACCAAGCACAGGGCCCTCACACAGCTCATTAGGCTCTGAAAGAGAAAAGATGGAAATAACTCCAAGTGTCAGAGTCAGAGCACAACAACAGACTGACCCCTTTGGGAGGCACTCGAAGCTCCTGCCCACTCCCTCCGGATCACCCGTGCCAGCCTCGGTGCACACATTGCACAGCCTCCACAGAGGCATTCCAGCAAACGCTCCTCCTCGCCTGCTGAACAAACAGTACCACGTATGAACCTGTCAGGCCACTGAAAAGCCCTTCACAAATTAGGTCTTATCAGTAGCTACACAGCCTCCTCGGCATGAAGGCATCGGCTGAAAGAACATATTAAGGGATTAATATGAATTTTTTTTTTAAACTGTTAACAATTAACTGGTGTTGCAAGTTTCAAGGAAATAGTCATCTGTTCTGAGATGGAAAGAGGAAAGAAAATACTATGCAATGACTTACAGAATGGAGCCTGCAGATGTGGCAAAGAAAACCTAACAAAGCTGAGGAAGATGCCTGCTCCTTAACTAACGCTGTACCCTTGGCTCACAGAGGTTACTTAACTCAAAGCAAAAGTGCAGTATCTGTTTCTAGCTAAAGCACATTGCTCTCATCAGCTATCTGCCAGGCCATGAATTTTACATAAGGGCAACCTCTTGATGTTGGTATCATTGCTTGGGAGGCTCACCGTGTTAGCGCATCGCTCATCAGAAAGGAGGCTGAACAGGTGACAGGTCAGAGGTGTGAGCAGTCTGTGAGCTCCCAGCACTTCCAGCAGGGACAGAAAACACTGGGCTGAGGATGATCACATACACAAGCCCAAGCTACTCTTTGTGCAGCAGGTATATGGGACTTTGGGTTAAGGAGGGCCACATTCATTTTTTTGACTGTGCAGTAGCCTTAGGGGTCTGATTCAGGGTGTTGGGTACCAGGTACAAGTGTTTGGGGTACTTATTAGCACTGTGCAGGTGAATCTTGGTCAGTTACGCAGCCCTAGAATAGCTGTGCTGACTTTAAGAAACTACTTGAAAGACCATAATTAGGAGGTTTCCAACATGCAGACCCTAAGGACTTGTCTTTTGAAAAGATACAATTAACATAATTACACTATATTTTAGCTTAGTACCTCCCACACTTTTCTTTTTTTCATTTCATGTGCATGAAGTACAAGCAAGAAAGTTTTATGTATTAGTTCCATGACACTGTACAAATCATTTCATAGGAACATGACAAAATCAATGGCTGTAAAAGGGAAGAGTCAGGCTCAGACAATGGTCTACATTTTTTGTACGTTGTAATTTACAAATAACCAGTATACTATGCTAAAAAGCATTTTGTTCAAATCTACAGCGTGTCTACTTACAAGTCAATATTTACCAACACTTAATATTTGAATTTGCAATTCCAATTCTTATTTGATCTCCACTATTCATTATACATAACATAAAATATTTTTATCATAAAATTAGCTTTTAAATAACATCTATAAACAGCAAACAAACACTGAATGGAAGTCCTCTGCAGGGAATGTGACTAACATAAGGCACAGCAGCCAAGATTTATGTCAAGTTTTTAAAAAGTGGGTGTCTCCTGTTCAGCTCTTTAAGCTTGTACTTAGCCCTTTCCACTGAGGCTGTAAACTTCTGACCACAAACATCTGTTTTGAGGTTAGAGCTGGCTGAATTATTCCCTGTCAATAAGTTATTTCTTACTCAGTACAGCCCTCCTTGCTCTTTATGAATCACTGCCAAATCAATCCCAATTTACAAATATAGGCTGAATAGCCCAGATGAGAGTGGTTCACCTCTTCCCCTGACCAGCAGCCTTGTTGCCTTGATGAAGAAAGGAGCACTTAAAAACCAACGGTGATGAAGTGCCCCTTCATACCTTGGAGTGCGCTACTTGCTTGTCCCAATAAAGCATAACCACGGCTAATGGGAAGGAAGGAAGTACTGCCCCATGGTTTTGGGGCAAAGGCACCTCAGATAGGCATGGATTGCTGGGAAAAGAGGAAGAAAATGGGTGTTGGATTCCCTCTGCCACCCCCCTTGCCCATGTTTTACTGTTTGATGAAGTGTGTACCGGGCAACAGCTCTGCTGCTGAATGCTACACACTCTTCTGTGTAGCCAAGCCCACATGCCAGTTGCCCCAGTTCTGCAAGAAATGCAGGATCAGACCTCAGTCTCCTGGGAATGACTTTTTGGTGTTTTCCTTCTGACATGTTCACATATTTCAAATTTTGGTACACTTTCATGAATTATCTACAAGTATTTGTTAAAGTCCTTGCAGAGGAAGAAGAATATAACACCCTGAATACGAATGAAAGCATATTCAGTGGGTTGAATTGGTGAAACTCATGGTGTACTGTACCACCAGGTCTGCCCAATGTGCCAAGGAAGTCTTTGCTCAAAACAACCTCTCGTAGCCCACCCTGGCTCTGGGCAGCTTTGCCCTCTCTCTGACCACCAGGTCTGCTGCTTCATCAAAAGTACCTGGATACAGTGCAGGGTGAACCAGGGGGAAAGCCATAAAAGAGAACGTGAGGAGCCTAAAGTGGAACTAGTTCTATCTAACCAAGAACTGCTGCAGGCTATTTTGTCAGTGGAAGAGAGCTGAATAACAAGCATAAACGAACCTATGAACGCTGAATAATTTGCTGTAAGCTGTAGGCAGAACTAATGCTCCATCCTGAAGGACACAGACTGTAGAAACTAGCTCTTTTAAGAAGAAAAATACTAATTGTGAACATCCCTTCTAGTGACAACTCAGTGGTTACATTAAGATAGAGCAACATAATACGGCTAAAATAGTCCCACAGGCATTACATACCTGATTTAGACTCAAACATTAGCTTTTGTTTAAAAACTTCTGAAAATTTGTATAGAGAAGGTTTCAGTAATGCTTAAAATAAAACCAGCTTTGGGCAAATTTTAGCATTTCTTTGTGCAGCTCTGACACTGCACTATTACACCCTTCATGACACTGGAAATAAAAGGAAGGAAAATAAACAAATCCACTGTCTAAGTAATGTAAAAAGCAAGATCCTGAGTTTGATGAGAAATACATCTACTAGCAAAGATTCTTGCTTTCTTGATAATAAATTGAATCACTGTTACTGGTTAAACAGGCAAGAAAGTGTAAGCTTATGCAGGGATCTTGTGTAACCTGAGCAGACATTAACCAACACCATTTCACTGACACCACACCTTTAGAGAGCATTCCTGATTTACAATTCACAAATACTTCTCCGGGCATTAATGACCTCAAGATATATGTAAAAGAAATCTGCTTTTATAAAAATTTGTGCATGTGGGTAGCTCTACTCCAGGGGAATAACTTCAGAAGCAAATAAAGCCATAATCCTGATTTACAGGAGAAAATGTATAAAATATTCTGGGCCCTGCTATTCCTTGATGTTTGGGAGAGGCAGGGACATTAATAAAAACTTCCTGATTTGAGAATTTCTGATTAAAAAAATTTTGATGCCAAACATTTTATAAAGTGATTTCACATTATACTTTTTTGGTGGGCTCTCTTTTTGCAGACATGATGCAAGTACCAGTCCTTGGACAGTGAATTGCAAGAGACATTTAGACTTCCCTCAGACAGGTTGTCAGGAAGATAAAGCACCCTCGAGTCCATACCAATGAGCACTTCTCAGTCATAGCAGTCATAGCAGATTGTACTTAGTGCACATATTTTATACCAGGCAATTAAATGCAGTTACCCAAATGAATGCAGAAGTCGGTTATATATTGTGCATCAATTATCACAGGCAATGAATGCCATGAGACAAAGAAATTAACACAACATAAAACTAATTCAATAACAGCAGATTGTGAAGTTAAAATCCTACCCTTTAGATATCCATAACACCACAATGAGTTACAGCACAGAGTGAAGCTGATTAAATGCACCACTGTAACGAGGCTCTGTGGAGTGCCTGGGTCAGCAGCCAGCCCTGGGATGCAAGAAGGAGGTTCTGTACCCAGCTCTGACACTGACCTGCTGAGTGACCTTCAGTCATTTCAGCTCTTTGTCTAATTTTTGTGACCACTAAATCCTTCAAGGAAAAAAATGATGGCATCAACCTTTTGAAACCTGGGAGTACAAGTCACAAAGTCATTAAATGCTATTGGTGCTGGTTCTTGAGGAAACACAGATGGAAAGGAGCAATGTGGAATCTTGTGAACTGTTACGTGTAGGTGAGTTTTCCAGTTCTTAAAAGAAAGGCAATTTCAAAGTGTTTGTTACTATTCACTGTGATTCATAGGACAGTGGTCATTAGGTTGGTCACACTCCACCTGACCTGCCAAAGTACAGGTCATTTATCAGGCTACCTCCAGCTGTCTTCTAAAATATATCAAGTGTTTTGTACTGATTCTTCCCAGTGTTTTGTTTCTCCAGCTGCATACAGGACTCCCAGTAAAGAAGGGAAAATAGAAAGAAAAGCTAGACAAGGATATGCTGTAAGCCACTGTTCCTTTCTTTCTGACCATCTTATGATGATAAAGAAAGATGGGACTAGCAACAATGAAAATTATATTTTTGCACCATAGCCATCCTCCTGGGCTACATGAAAAAAAAAAAAAAAAAGCATCTCCAATGTGATTCTAAGATGGCTTTTAAAAATATTTTTGATATTATTGCATATGCAGTGTTACAAGAAGAGGCATTATTTTGCATGGTTAATGGTATGTTAACAGCTAGAAAATGTGACCTAAATTCAGAAATTCAAAATGAATTGAAGGGAAACACTTGTCATAAAACAATTTGGAAAAACACATTTACTACAGCAAGTAAAAAATTACATCAGTTACCAAAACTTTTCTGGAGCAAAATTTTTTTTCTGGGAAGGGATCCTAACTTATACATCCACTGTATGCTTAATCTCCCAGCAGCTCTACTGCAAAGACCAACTGGTTTCCAGCATCTCCAGAGTCACCCTGTTTACATGGAATTTTCTGCCACATCTCTCTTTTACAGGAGGCCTTTGAAAGCAAAGATTAATTCTGCAGGAACCAGCACTTTCCTTAGGAAAA